TAATGATGAACAAATTGGTTAAAAAAGAATGTGCTGAACATGTCACACTTTTATATTTCAACAGTTGCTTTTCAACGCCGGGATCGAAAAACGATTCTGGCATTGAGAAAATGGTCAGTGGCTTGCAAACCCTACTCATGATAAGGCTTGTAAAGTAACAGTTGATGATAAGTATTCTCTGCCATGAGCAAACTGAATCAAACATGATGACTTTTTGAACTGACTTTTGAATTGACATTGACTTAACGAAATCAAATAGAGGATTATTGATAAGTTTGAAGTTTGAATAGCTCTAAAAAAAGAAACATTTATCGAATATATTCGTAAAACTTACGTTCACGTGCGATTTCTTCAAATGATTTACAGCACAAGTTGCATGATTTTCTGCACATCTCTCCTGATGAGCTTTCATCCGGATCATAACAATCGCTATTCACTTTATAATCATTTTTCCTGCAATATTCGCGAAGAGAAGTGTAATAAAGCTTGAAACCTCCTCTAAAATATTGGCTAAAATTGCAAGAAACTAATGTCTTGATGTATGATCAAAAGCTTCGTATGGTTTCCAATCTCATGCCGAGCACAAAAGAATATGGCCAATAAAACGTTCCAAACGGGTGCATTTGCTAATTATTGATGTTCACTTGCAATCTGCGAACATTCATCTAGTCACGATGATCATCAATTGTAAACACGGTAACATTTTGCTGCTTAGACGAATATCCTACTTACGGGTCATCATTATGGATGCGAATCTCCACCGACATTGGAAATAGATCTTGGCAAGCATCCTCCGGCATTTCGTCTTCACATGGTGCTGACACTATCGGCCTTTGCACTCCATTTATTTCTTTATTACAGATTTTGATGGTGCTGTATCGAGCACTTTCTCCGTGCGATAACGGCACTGCAGTGAGGGCAACTAGAATGATGCTTAGAAGCATTTGGCAAACGTTTCCTATAAACAGTTGGGGTAATTTGATCAGTTCAGCCAGTCAGCAAATAATTCGCTAAATTCACACCGTTTGAGAAGGAGAATGAAACAAATACGCTGTTACAAACTTGGACACAACAAATTAATTCGAAAAGTTAACAGTAAATATTATTTGTGTACTCGATATGCGCATTTGCATTTCGTTTAATGAACAAGTCGGTGAGCAATGCAGAGTTTCGGTGGAGAGTTGTTACGTCAATACTTTGGAAATAAGCTCAGATTTCAGAAATGTTTAGTTCAGTGACTGTCATAGAGAGGAAATTGGAGGATATTAGAGGGATTGAAACGTTTAGCAAAATAATGTAGATTGCTTTTTCTTTGTTGTTCCCTCATGGATGATCAAAACTGTCTTCAAAATGCGTGCTCAACCGTTTCCTTTGATACCATCAACACATTCTTGAGTGGAAACATCGTGATCAGCAGATCAATTCCTTGAAATTCTTTTGGTTTCTCGCCGAAACGTAGTCGATTTTCAGAGGATCTGGAGTAATTATGATTATATGGATTTTTTTGGGGGGAGGGGAGGGGAGAGGGAATGGTAATCTGCCACATGGCCAANAACGAGGAGCATGGATTCGCGAAGTCGGATGCAGCTTATGGCAACGTTCTGATAGCACAAATCGAAGTCAGTTGCTTTAAATAATATTCCAATAACATCAGAATGAACGCATCTGAAGTGAGAACAGGAATCGATAACAGGAAAGGATTCGAGTATTCTCATTTGATGAAGCATTTGCGCAACGATTTCGAAATATACCCCGACTTGTCCAGAAATTTGCTGCGTCAAAATCGCTACTTCAAACTGTCTGGCAACGATTTTTATACTGTCTACAGAGATTTGACTCCAGAAAAAAATCGCAGTACAAGCTCATAACTTTGAATTTCCTTGAATCAGATCTCATTGAAAGGTCAACAATGATGACGTTTAGGGCGTTCGAAAGATTTGAGAGCATTTGCTAGTGCCATTCTTGGAATCAGTAATTCATCGAATCGCTTTTTGATGTCGCCAATTCGATGTAAATAAACTTTTGGATGCGCTCCGCGTGAAACAATTCATAAAATTAGAATATGAACAGCTGATGAAGCAATGAATATGAACAGCTGATAAAGCACTCAATTCTATCCAACTTTGCACTTGATGAATTATTGTTTGCTCAATGCGAGAATATTTTCGAAAATTACCGCAAAAAAAAACTTTAAAAATGAGAAAAAAATTGTCGGAAAGCTGAGCAAAATATGATATGAAATTTCCTCAGTGGTTATTTGACTGATAATTCAGAGAAAAATTCAGTGAAAAGTTACTAAAAAGTAAGGGACATATGCATTTCACCTCTCATGATAGTTGAAATTGTTTTCTGAATGAAATAACAGCGAATTTGACAAGTTGTTCTCTGCTGTCATCTTTACCAGCAGTCGGTTGTGGCCAATAAGGGGATCTCACAAGCACTTCAGTCAAACCGTGAGCATAGGCAATTACATCAAAATTTCTCTCAACATTATGAGCACTGAATAACCGTCGCCATTTTTTTTCACAAGCCCCTATCATTAATTGCTATAACTATGTGAACATAAGTTTGAGTCTGAGTGTACGTTTCAGTTAATTCTTATTTCTTTATTTCCTTTAACCAACAATAGGCAATTTATCTGTATGCTAAATGTTGTTACA